AGACAAATGAAGTAATGTGGAATTTTTGCTTTGCTATTATTAATAATTGGTTGAGTTTAATATTTTATGAGATTTTATTTAATTTTATGTAATTTTTATTTTTTTGGGTAAAAAAAGACTTAATTAGAAGATATCATAACTTTTGGGACAAATTTAAGAGATTAGGCACCTGAGAATCAATGTGTCAACTGGATAGAAGATCAGGAACCATAACAGTTTTACCAATGAAGAACCAAAATTGCATTTTGGCCCAAATGGCCGACACGGACTTTGTTTCAGTGTATTGGTGAAGGTGTCCGCACGTTGTTCTAGGGTATGGACCCCTCAGGCAATTTTCATCAAGCCCGGTTAAATTCTTTGTATTTTGGCATAGGTGTCAAGTCTATTCCAATTAAATATTTTAAAATTTTGTAATTACTTATTTAAGGTTAGAATTGAGAAGCTTTGGGAGGCTTTTGATAGTCTCTTAAAGACTAAGAAATGAATTAACGTGATTTGTGTAACTTTAGTAAAGTGAATTGGAAAGATTTTAGATTAGCAAGTGAATTTCACAAAATATAATATATTTTTATTTATTTAAATTCACATAGATATATAATAGGTTAATAAGTAAATATGTTTAGTACAACTTGAGATAATATCAAATATGGTAGGAAATCTTATTATCTATAGTAAATATCTTGAAAGAATAATAAGTTAAAATCTATATTAATTAGTTATGGTATGGTAAAGTGAGTGGCATAGTACGTTATATCTTGAAAATTTTTATTTTGAACTGTTATTTTCTTTTAATTAGTTTTAGTTAAATATTTTTCTTTTTTATTTATTCAAATAATTCTATAATTAGTTACTTTTGGTGCTTAATTTATAATAATCTCCATTAGAACAATGCCCTATTAATCCTTTTTTGTTACTTGAACAAACTAATACACTTTTAGCCATTAGGTGTGGAAAAGAAAAAATTTTTCTTAGGTATTTATAGGTTGATCATATGATATGTTGCTATCTAGCCATTAATATTACAAGACTAAATGTGAAAATTATCTACTTTTTACTTTATTTTTTTAAAAATAATTATTTTTTATTAAAAAATTAATAATAAATCTTAATAATTTACAATAAAGAAATTAATGTTCAAACATAAACATACACGAGTTCAACAATCTAGGTGTAATTTGGATTGAATAATGCAGTCAAACGTAAACATCCATGAGTTCAACAATTTAGGTGAAACACAGCCCTTAACACATTTCTTCCCATAACATGTAACTAGAGTATCTAGAATTGAAGAAGCCTCACAAGATCAACAGAGATCACCCCATGAATCCGAAAAGCCAACAATATTGAGTACACTTCTTCAATATTAACAGATCTTGGGGCTTTGGTGGGTATAAATTAAACTGATGAGTGGGGATTGACTGGAGGATGAGGAACTTCAATGGTTCCTTCAAGCATCTGTGAGACTGTCTTCATGGTGGGTCTCAGCGATGGGTCATCTTGAATGCACCAGATGGCAGTCATCACAAACTTCTCTACCGTCTTAATGTCCTCCATTGCCTCTTCATCCTCCTGAACTAGCAGATATGGTTTCCCTTCTTCATGGCAATCATATGCCCAATCAGCCAATACCCTTTGTTTTTCATCCTCTAAATCTTGCTCAACTTTCCTTCTACAACAAATGAGCTCTAGCAGCAGAATTCCAAAGCTGTAGACATCAACCTTGACCGTTACAGGCTTCTTTCCAATCAACCATTCAGGGGCAACATATCCTCTTGTTCCCCTTACTTCTGTAACAGTTCGTGTCTGGTCTGTCTTCAAAAGTTTTGCTAATCCAAAGTCTGAAATTCTTGCTGTCAAGGAGTCATCTAGCAGGATATTTTGAGGCTTAATGTCGCAGTGTATTATCTGGCTGCTACATTCTTCATGCAAATAAGCAACCCCTCTTGCAGTTCCAAAAGCAATTTGAGTTCTTCTATACCAACTGGGCCTTGGATTGCTGAAAAGATAAGATGCTAAAGATCCATTGCTCATGTATTCATACACCAAAAGCCGATGTTGTCCCTCATTGCAGAATCCTAGCAGCCGCACGAGATTCTTGTGGTTTGTCTTCCCAATTGCACTCATTTCTGCTTGAAATTCCTTCTCATTGCGGTCTTCATTCAACTTGTGCAATCTTTTAACGGCGATCAAAATCTTATTTCCAATGTCTAAAACACCTTTGTAAACTGTTGAACTACTACCCTTTCCAAGTTCTTCTTCAAAATTTTTGGTAGCTTCCTCAAGCTCCATGTAGGTGAAGCTTTGTAGACTCATCATGCCATGGGTTGTTCTGGAAGGTTGAATCATCCTTCTTTTCCTGGAACTTGAGCCTAAAACAAACCACAGAGTAGTTATCAACAGAACAAGGTTCAAAAATGCTGAGCTACTTAAGAGCAGAGTTAGAATAAGATTCAGTGTTGACTTCTGCTTCTTTGAATGATCGCTTGAACCCCCACCTGAACCCCCTTTAGTAGAAGTTGATGTAGAATTGCCTTTCCTTATTTTGATGAGTGATTTGCCCCCAGAACCAGCATCAGTTCTCCCATTCAAGAGAGGATTTGACAACCTCCAACACTCACCATTTTTAAATAATGCAACAGCACAATAGCAATCACTCAAACAAGACTGTCTGCACCAATCCTCAGTAACTGCATTAAAATACTCGTACTGCGAGTCGGGCCAACTTGTATCCACCATATCTCGGAATTCAAAAAGATCTGCATTTTGGCCTCCATCACACTCTTGTGCGACAAAATTCCGTTTGCATCCCTTCATTTCGTCATCAGGATCCAAGTACAAGTATCCAGGTGGGCACCGGCATTTAGGTCTCTGATCATTTCCTATAATACAGTAGCTGTTGTAGCCGCAAGCTCCGCTACCTTCGTAATTTGCTATGCTCGTGCAAATATCTCCTGGTATATGGAACAAAAGGGACCAGTTTACAGGCTTTCCAGCAGTAACACTGTTGTTCTTTGGATAGACATAGTGCCTGAAGACCCCATCATATTCAAAGATTGCTAGTTGGTAGTAGTCCTTAGATGAATATCCGCTTGATGTTATATAACTGAGTATGCTTCCATTTTTAGCTTCTAGGTATATGTAGCCAGACTGGTTAAAGATAACTCGGACGCCACTGCCTTTTGTATTAGATGCCCAGTAATTGGTATTCACTGCATCCAGTGGGAACCTTGTGGTGTAGGCTGCAAGATCTCCATTCAGTTGCATCACAAAAGTAAATCTTCCACCTGAATAATTCGTCTGTGCATAACGGGCGACAAGTTGGTCTCCTGGTTTCAATATTTGTGTGGGTACTAGTGTGTCAGTGGGTAGATTAAAACTCTCCCACAACTTGTTGGAGTCCTGGCTGGCCAGCACAAAGTTCCCGGTGTCGAGCATAGCTGCATATGAAACAATACCAGAGCCTTCCAATGTAGCCACCCATACCTCCTTGCCTTCGAAGTCACTGAGCCTGAACTGGCCATCTGTTGCGAGTTGAATTTTGGATCCTTGTTGCACCAGATTGCCACCATTGGCCGACCAAATAATGGTTTTTTCAGGTGTTTTGTCAAACCATATGGCTAGCAAGAACATTCCAGCTTCTATTTGTTGGAAGCCAAATGCGAAGTCGCCAGATGGAGATTTCCAGGAAGAGTTTTGATCGAGTGCTGCAGTTAACAAAGAGCCCAATGTTATGTTCTGAGATGTTTGAGCTACAACATAAACTGGTAGCAGAAAAAGCAGAATGAGATAGTGAGAATATGGAGAAGTGAAAGCCATGGTTTTAAAACAGATTTAAGTTCCAAATTTTCTGTAACAATAACGCATGTAAATATAGCCCCTTCTGGTCTTCGCGTGCAGAGTCAACTAAATGTAACTTTTGCATATTTTTCCTCGAAGCATGACCCTAGCTAGTTGTAGGAAAAGAAGTAGGCTATGGAGAAATTCAGGCGCATTAAAAAAAAAATTAAGTGGACTCGACCAAAGACTTTGAATCTTTAGTCCCCAAATGTTAAATTATTCTTGATAATTGGTTTATTTGTTCGTAAAGATAGAACACGGTCACTACGTCACACTTTATTTATTAATTTGGCTCAGATGCGCTGCATGTGCCGAAGTTGTTTTCTTAGAGATGAGAGAATTCGAGAGAGAACAAATAGATTGTTTAAGTGGTGTATTTCAAAAAGGGTGTGAACTGTGAGATTTTCCTTGCTAAAATGTTGATTATGCCGTTGACGACAATAATGAACTGCAAATCATTTTGTAGAACAAGCCCGTAGCATTGTC